TTAGGTATTTTTGAAAGCATAAGTAATGGCGGTTTCTTTTCATTTAAAAATTTTTAGTTTAACAAAACAAAAAACAATAAATTAGTCTTAACATAATATTAAATAAAAAAACAATAAATTAATATTTCAATTTTGTACTTTCCCCATCGACCCAAGATGTCGAACTATAATTAGTTGGCTACAACCCATTCGTTCGGCTAATTCTCGAGTGGTTTGACACGCGTCCTCATGCAAAAGTTGATTCAAACACTCGTCATCAAACTCATTAGGTCGTCCGTAACGAGCAGCGTCTTCGAGGTCGAAATTTCCGTTTTTGAATTTGGCAAACCAATTTCTTGCAGTTCGTTCAGGCATTGCACCTTCTCCATACACTTCACAAATCTCTTGGGCAGCTTCTGTAGCATTGGCGCCTCGATTAAAACGAAAAAAAAAAGGTGTCGAAAATGCTTATTTTTGTCGACTTGATACTCCATTTTAGTGATCTGAAAAATAACAAAAATTAGCTGAGACAAAAAAATAAAATACGCCATCTTGTAGAAGGAAAGATTCTGCTTCGAATAACGCAAAACATTATGCCAATACATTTTATTTTTACCGCGTAATTTTAAACACATCATAAACGGCCGTTACTTATGTTTCAACCCAATATTATATAATTCAAAACTTCTCAGATGGGAAAGATGGCCCACCTATTAGTTGCATCCATAATAAACTGACCACCACTGGCATGGGACCACACTGGTTCCATTGACCACACTGGTGGTAGTGGTCAATGGAAGGCTCGCCATTGGGAGGGGGAACTTCTCAGGTTTGGTATTTAAAACTGCATGTGATAGAAAAGCATATATTAGATTTGACTATGAATGATAAACCGTAAGTTGCACTTTGTTTCTTTTTCTGATGCTTAAACTTCTCAGGTTTTATATTTAAAACTTGTATGTGATTGAAAAGAATATATTAGATTTGACTATAAATGATAAACCGGAAGTGGTACTTTGTTTCTTTTTCTGGTGTTTAAACCTCTCAGGTTTGGTATTTAAAACTTGCGCATGTGATTGAAAAGAATACAGGGTGATTCAGAATTCATCATCGATATTTGGTGGGAAAGGTAGGGAATAGAAAAAGAGGGAGATTTCACGTAGAAAAGTATGGGCACAGACGAACGCATGGTGGTGTAGAGGGTGCTGTGTGTACACAACTTCCATACATAAGCACAGCTGTTTGTCAGAGGACAAACGCCGCCGTAGGAGAAGGACGTACTCAGAACCGCAGCTCTATGCTTATCATCCAAATTGCCGTACCACTCCCGCTTCTAGACTTTATTACAGACTGTTTCAACTGCTTTTGGAATTAATTGCTTGTCACTACTCTCCAGATTATGACCGTTTGCCGAACTGTTTCAAATTCCTGACTACTCACTTCGCTCTCCATGATTATGACCATTTTGCTTATCAAAAATTGCCATTCTATTGCCAAGAAGAAAATCGCATGTGACTCAGATGTTATTCGCCTTCGGATGAGGTGCGTATACACCACTTAATTTTACTTACTAATCGACCATAGGCACTATTTTAACTGACAGGGTTAAGACTCTTATGAAGTCAAGGCCTGCTTGTCATAGAAAAAGATCCGATCCGTGTGCAGCCAGTCGTCATTTGAATAGGTGACTTTGCAGAAATAACATGAACCAGTATACGTGGAATGAACTTGCAGATATGCATGTAAATGCCAGGCATATTCCAGAAGGTCCGGTTGTCCATGCAACGCCGTTGTGAGTCATGCACATGGTCAGCAGTTCGAGCACCTCTTGTAAGTCTGTAAAACCGATGCAAAGAAATGTTACATGTAAGATAATAAATGTTTTTTTTTTCCTTACTACTTCCTTTTTATGTGTTCTTTCCATTATTGAACTGGGGTCATTTTGCCCTACTAAATGGCATATGCGCCCATGCATTTCTATGTGAAATCTCCTTCTTTTCCTATTCCCTACCTCCCCACCAAATATTGAAGATGAATTCTGAATGACCTTGTAAATCAGATTTGACTATGAATGATAAACAGGAAGTGGTACTTTGTTTCTTTTGGGGGGGTGTTTAAAACATGGAATTGGAGGGAGGTCATGCGCTGGCTGCATCAGATTTCCCTCCCCCAACGGCCCTTTGTTGAAAATTGCGAAACAGATTTAAAAAGCTAACGTTGAATCAGAGGAGGAAAGAGTAACATATCTTCGAACATGCAGAGTACGCGATTCGCTTTTGAGATGGAATCCATGGTTTAGCAATAAAAACAAATGTTTAGGCATACGTTTTATTGTTTTAAGAATCTGAAATCTAATATGATAAGAAAAAGTAATAGTTTGTCTGATTTATATTTTTTTTCAGATATTTGCTAAAGAATCATTTATTTAGTAGCAAAAATTACTAAGGGATCATAAATAAAAATATAAGTTCAAGTATAAATTTGTATCACAACAAAAATACCCGCCCTTAAAAGTGTACCGCCTGATGCGGACTTCCACTTTTATGCTTCTCTAGCTCACCTAGCTACGCCCCTAGCAACGCTCATCAAATAGTGGCATTAATGCGTAAGATATTCTAAGATAAACAGCTGTTGTATCGTACAGGAAAAAAACATCACTTGATCAACACATTAACTGAGAAAATGGCCAAAACTAAGATGAAATGGCTGTATTGATAAAGAGTTTAATTCATTAAATGTTGAAAACTGAAAATCTTTACGGGAAAGAAGATTATTTAAATTAAATTAATTAGATTACGGCAAAGCATACTTGGGGTATCTGCATAAAATGAGGGATAATTTCGTGGAAGACTTTCTGCGTGAAATTAACTGTTATTTACATTATGCATTGCAGTAAATATGTCAAGATGCATAAGACCATTCAGAAGTTCAAAGATCATAATGAACGCTTGCGCAAATGAAGTTCAAGTTTTCAGTTTTACAAATCGGAGAATCGTTTCATTATCAATTTTTCGCTCTTTAGCGGCATAGAGTCGTGTTCTTAGTGTTCCTTCTTTCGAAACAAATGAAAAAATTGTTATGTTAGATTCAAATTAAAATAAAAACTTTTAAATTTCGATGGTTATTGCTTTAAAACCCTGATGAATTTCTTATGCGCCAGAGCTCTCATAGTTTAAAGTCAGGCATTTAAATAAGAATTAACGAAAACCTTTCATAGTAAAGGATTAATCGATGTATTTTATAGAGTGTCGCGCGATATCGAAAAACGCCCCTCTATCGATTTTTTGTCCCGTCTGAATGGAAAGAAGTGGTTCTCTTAAAATCAAACAATGCAACAAAAGTGAAGAACTTCGCCAGAATTTGACCCTTACACTTCTCCTTCAGCTGATCGACGGACTGGGATATCTCTTCTTCGACTGCAGAAGGTATCGAGCTCGCCTCTGATTCGTCCCCGCCCAATTGACGTCATCGCTACAGTCAGTGGGCCGCGGCCATGTTGGAATAGGTTAGAACCGAAAGTAAAGTACAGGGGCAGAAAACATCCTCCTCTTGTGTATTCGGAAATTACACGTTGCCTCTAATTTTGGGCAGAATAATTTGTACTCTTCTGCGCGAGTCTTATACTCATCTATAAATGTGGGCTAATAAAATACTTGTGCACCGAGTTTCATGGAGTTTGTCATGGTCATGGAAGTCTTTCTTATAAGGCTTTCATAAGGTGAGTAATAAATGTTCTAAAGTGCATAGGAACTTCCTCAAAAGATATCCAATGTTTAGTTGACAGTCTTGCCTCGCACATGTGTGAACGATTATCTTGCATCAAGATATTACACTGTAAATTTTAGTACGTTCTTCTTCTATGCAAGATTTGGAACGGAGCTCGAATTCAATACATATTTTTTACTGGATTTTGCTGCTTACATTTTAATAAGGAATAGGACATATTTTGAAATTTTATAACCAAAATTCTTCCAAAAATTCAAAGCAACCAATTTGAACATTTGCTGGAATTCATAACATTGCATTTACGACAAAAATTATATTACTTTGTGAGTTTTTCGATTTATATCTCTGACCAATATTGGGCTAATTTCTAGCACAGCAGATTTAATAAAATATAACTGTTTCTACGTGTGAAGCAGAATTTTATAATTGATTGCAACTGTAAAAATGTTTCGTGCACAAAAACTGCCTATAATATTTTGAAAAATTTATCATTTTAGTTTCTGCAATTTTATTACATATTATACCTCTTCTAAAATATTCTGTCTCCAGTTCTGGCAACACTGGCAATAGCTTTGCCTTCTGTAGAGACTAATTTGTATCACATCCTAAGTATGTACGCATAGTAATATTAGACGATAAAAGTTCGGAGTATAAAACAGATTGCTGTAAAAAATCTGAGTAGTTTGTGATATCCAATTTAAAACTAATACATAGAAAAAAGTAATAGATTCTTGATTGTCGTTTCTTTTGAATTAATGAAATACATGTGATCTGAAGTGACATGTGATCTGGAGAGACCTTCAGTAAGGTCTGAATGTGATTTATTGGGCAAATCTCAAAGCTTAACGACAAATATTTTCTAGTTCTGAGCAGTAATAATTACTTTTAGACTCGAATAAAGAAGATATATTATTAAAAGTGATGTTGTTTCATGTGTAGCTACCAAAGGACTTATACGTCTATTTATTTTTATACAGTGCATGTGAAGTAAAGTACTTAATGTTTACAAGAGAAAACTTGATACCCACGCACAAAGTTTTCTTTATCTTTACACGGATTTCCAGCAAATACAAAACCTCTTGGCACAAATGCTTAATAAATTACAATTTTAATCTCCTGCACATTTGCTGAAGACGCTCAAAGAATTACCGTCCTTTGTGAATGGAAAAGAAAGATGCACGTGCATTTACATTTGTTTTGAGCTTTTGTTTTCTTTGCACAACTCTTCTCCACTGACAAGCACCTGTGAGTTTGTGATAACGAAAGACTAAGTAACAAGAAATCATAATTGCATTAGAACTTAGAACAGTATCTGAGTTTAATTCAAATTTCTGAGCTACCTGAAGAACGACAGTAATTGTGACTTTTTTCTTATCTTTATATATTTGCGTAGATGTGTGATAATTGCCTTCGATATAATACTACTGATAAGATTATTCGTTGTGTTCTAGAAAGGAGGTAAAATATTATACTACTACTATTTTTCGGAACATCGGTTTATCTTCCACTTTTTTTGCAATGCCAAATTTTTAGAGACATTAAATTATTGCAATCGTTTGAATTTTGGTACCATTTATCGCAGATAATTTATTTTGAATTTGTGTTATTATTCTCTCATTTAATAGTTGAGATTGCTTGCTAAGAAAAATTTCTGCGATACCTCCAGGACAACTTTTTCTGCCATTCAGTTTCTGTTCATAAGAAGAATTCCGTTAAGGTGCAGTTGGTAGTGGCTCTCACAGCAACGCGCTATTCTGAGCCATAAGAGAGTAACTTTGAAATACTATTCGCAACCGTACTTATTTTATAAAGTAGCCATTTGCGGTGAAGGTGTGTGATCAGCAATTACCTTTCCCAGAATGCCCATAGCACCCCATACTATGAGTAAACGCCTCCTAGCGAAAACTATCAAGAAACTCAATCCTGGCGTCAAAAAACAGGTAATTCCTTTTACTGTTTACTGATGATTTTAATTCACAATCTGTGTCCCTTTGAATGCCGTAGTATAGTTTGCTTTGTGTTCTTGTATTTCTGTAGCGTACATTAGATTTTAATTTCCGTTCAGTTTTTTACTTTGAGAAGATTTATATTTATACTTATTGTTGCTTTCTTATTACCGATTCTTTTTTCATTGATCGTAGAATATGATGGATAAAAATTTCTTTTCTATATACGATTTGTTAAGCGCATATATTTTCTGCGTTTCCTTAAATAATGCTTCGTAAAATTCTTCTGTATTATGCTAGTCGAACTGTATGTGCATATCTTATAATGAAAGATAAAATTAACATGAGAATCTTTGACAAGACATAATTATTTTTTCTAGGATGACAAAGGTATGGACATTGTTTTAACTGTTAAATCATTCAATCAGTTGCAAAACGAGTTGTGTATACTCCACCGCTCGCATCTTAATCCAAAAGATAACCGGATCAATTGCTTACGTGTTTATCTCCAATACATTTACTTTCCTTTGCGTGTGTATCTTTTACAATAATTCTTTTAAAACTGCGTACAGTGTATCTTTTGAAATAGCTCTTTTAAAACTGCATACAATGTAACTTCTGCATCTGTAATATAAGTAGTGCAACTTTATTTTTATAAGATATATTTTCTGAGGAATAATATTGCACATACATTTTTATTTGGATGATAGCACGAGAAATAAAGTGTTAACAGTAATTACCTTTTTGCTCAGTTTCATGTTGCGGACAAAACAGTTTTAAGCTTTTGCTGTGTTTGTCTTAAATTTAAAATTTTACAATGCATAATTTCGCCAAATTCAATCATAATTGCGTTAGGATAATCAAGAAGAAATCATAATAAGAGAAGAAATCATGATCAAGAATCAAGAAGTTTAATCTGGCGCCATATGATTAGGTCGAGTTTCTTCTTAATTTTCGACTTCGCTAGAGATTATGAGAATGTTGATGTTGTTGTGATTCAATCCGTTAATTATAATTTCGAATTCTTGAGAATCCATATTTTTGTTTTATTCGGCTCCTCCTTCATGTGTTGTTATAACTCGTAGTGAGAACCCACAACTGCAAGAATTAAGCTATCGTATCAAGTTATTTCAAGTATCCTTTTTCTTCCGCTGCGCGTACGAAATATAATTAAAATTGTATACTTTAATTATTTATGTATATTTATGGTTTAAATGTAATCGTACAATTCTTAGCATAGTTTTAATATGATGAAGATTATGTCAGAAAATGTCATATGTTAATTAATCCAATGGCTATTGGCCATCAAACAGTGTCCTTTATGTTGTGCTTCAGAACCTTTATGTTCGTAATTAAACATGAATTTCTTTTTTTAAAACGCAGATTTGAAATTTTGCTTTAAGAACTTTCAGTACTAAGTAATATTTTCTCATTTTCTTCTTATTAATTAATTAAATAAGAAGAGGGGACACTGTAAATTAGAGAATCTGAGATTCTAAAATTTCAAGAAGCTCTTAAGATTCTCCATCAGGTAAATTTAGAATTCTACCTCTAGAAATAAATACTACGAAAACAGTCAAATGGTGAGCACTTGAACATGCTTCAAACTGCTTAATTTATCAAATGAATTTTAACCCTTTTTTTTTTTGTACAACTGATTAATTAAGGCAAACACAGTGCCCACAAGTGGTCGAATTTTAAAGACCAATAAAACCTGTAAGGCTACCTGTAAACAACCACTTGTAAGGTAATTAATCTCTCTACGGCTAGAACAGCTATTGGTAGTCAGTCCCTCTACAACAGGCCCACCAAGAAGTCTGGATTTAAGATTATGTGACTTCTACTTAGGGAATACATCAAAGACCGAACTATTGCTACAGACTTGGGTGGTCTTAACCCTTTGTTGCATACAAAAAATCTAGAAAAGTTAAACGAAAATGTTTGTATTTTTTCTACTTAAAATAACCTTAGTATTTGATAAAAAAATTAATTTCATTCAAATTTCGTTTTATATAATTGCCACAGTTTGTTCACTACAGTGGACAGCATGCATATACGTACATGCATTTAAATCTCTTCCCAACGATTTACGGTCATTGCATTTGAAATCCTTTCCTGCCTTGTTTGCAGTGATCATTACCATCTTCTAAATGGTAAATCTACAAATGACATGTACATACAGATCCCCCAAAATACCTTCATTTCGTCGATTGTGATTGAATTTATTTTGCTACGATTTTGTAACCTGCACTTATTGGATTCAAATGTCAAATGTTCTAGAAATTCCTTGCCAAATATAAACATTTCCAGTGGTGTTTTGGCTTGATAAGCAGTACATTTGAGTTCCAATTCACTCTTTTTGGTAGATCTTTATCTACCCACTCCACATTTTCTTCAAACTGACATTTAAAATAAAATGTCTAAAATTACTAAATTACGAATAAAAAATGGCAGTATAAGAAAATGTAAGCAATATTATATAATGTTTACTATGAGAAATTGTACTAACTTGGAAACAGAAGTAGCAGACATTTTCCAAATAGCAATGCTTTAGACTAGACTAGAAGAGAAACACGCTAATGTGACAATCAAAATCGTAAAAACAACCTTGTATTTAGCGTAAGTATATTAAAAGTGTTTGAGTATATGAGTGTTTCAATATACTTACGCTAAATACAAGGTTGTTTTTACGATTTTGATTAGCAGTGCTTTACTTAGTGATGCTATACAGCCATCTAATGATCAACAGTTGAAAGTTCATTAAAAGTGTTTGAGTATATGAGTGTTTCAATATACTTACGCTAAATACAAGGTTGTTTTTACGATTTTGATTAGCAGTGCTTTACTTAGTGATGCTATACAGCCATCTAATGATCAACAGTTGAAAGTTCTAATAATATAAAATGAATAAACACAGAAATGAAATCTGTTAGGGCATTTACAGAAGAATAAACAAATTTCAGCTTTTGTCTACTAGAGTGGACATGATGCAACAAAGGGTGAACAATCCCTCACAACAGTTGTTGCTATTGAAAATACTATTGGGGAAAAACCTGACTAGTGCATTGTTATGTCAGATTATAAAAGTGTCGCATATTAATATGTGTAATTTAGCCATGTGAACTTCAGAACTTACTCTTTTAACCGCATTAAGTATTTCATCCCAGCTATAAAATCTGATCCTTCTGGAAAATTAGAAAATGTTTATTTCTTTTAGACTAATCGTGTATAAATATTTTTAAAACTGCATGGCGAGTGAAAAGCTTGGTTCAGACTTTAGATATTTCATTAATAATCTTAATGCTTATGGGAAGTGTCAAAATATTTTTAAGAAGCTTGTCATTTGCAATGGCTCACACTTAACACCCGCACAAAGGTTTTGCTGCATTAATAAGCAATATATTAATATAATTTGAAAGGTGAGTTGAAAGCTTATACTGCTTCGATTGGCAGGTGATGTGCCAGATCATGACTCTTATCATAGATTTATCTATAATTTCGTAAAAAATGGATACCGAAATTGTTTCGCTGACGACATTTCTAACGTAAGCCTCTGAACCCATCTATTTCTGTTCTGTACATTTATTATCATTATCGCATTTTTATAGTTTTAACATACAATTTTGAATAATTTTTAGTATACGAGAGTGAAGCATTTGCAGTATGTGCAGAAAATTTTGAGATGTGTGCTTCTGTTGGAGATATAATTTGCCATCTTTTCCAAACATTTTTATAATAAATTTTCAATTTGGCATTCATGGGTTTCCACATGTATAACATGGATATGAGGCAGTTTCCCTTAGAAAGTCCATCACGAAGACATACCTACTCTTCGGCAGACACCCCTCGGTATACTTGTCTTCCGTAATGGCCTTTGCGGAAAAGTGAACGGCCTTGGCGCAATTCGGTCTTAAAAAACTGCATTTTGTTGCCATATGTTGTAAATATCCGCGAAAATGAAACTGACAATGGTAAACGATAAATCTGCAATAAATTCATTGTCTATACAACACGAATTATTTAAAATGCACATATGGAATGAATTTCATGTAAATTTGTGTTTATTATAGTATTTAATATACTTTTGTCAGCAATTAATAATAATTTAAAATGACATAATTCAATAGAACATATTTAATGTATACATTAATTACGATAATACAATAATTATAGTACTTAATACCATTTTGCCATAAAATGACATTTATAAACATAACCAAAAATTCTATTTATTATTTTATTTAATATGATTTCGGTAATAATTTACTAAAAGTATATACATAAATATACCGGAAAAGTTGATATTTCTTTCTGATGGCTACTGTTCAACAATTGTTGCTAATAATTCTTCAAACATCAACTGAAACTTCTTGTTCCAGTGATGGAAGGTCGAAAATAGTAAGTATAATGAGTATTTTACAGTGAACAACCACTAGATTGAAACATTTCTATTACGAAAAACCAGTTAGATTTATCGTAACTGTTTGTTTCTCGCCTATACAGAAACACGCCAAATTCGTTTTCTCTCTAAGGCCGATTCAGAACGCAAGAACCCTTTGTGCTTTGTCGTAATCAAATAAACCGGTATTTTGCAATAGTAAATTTCAAGCGACATGAAATTGTTAGCCCGCATTTACCGCCGCCTTTCTAGTACATCAGAACTTTGAGAAGTTTAAATGTATAATTCGAAGTTAATTTCTCAAAACGTTTATTTTTCTAGTATCAAACAAGTGTTTTCTCTGGTCCCATTATTACATCCGACAAGCTCACCAGCGACCAAGTAGTAAAGTCGTTGAACACGGGTAGTTCGGTCTGAGGTTCGAATCCCGCGAACGGCCTGTCTGCATGGGCGTTTCTTCCCGTCACGAAGACAGACAGAAGGTGTATGCGAGCCGGTTTCCTTTAGAAAGTCCTCCACGAAGGCATCCCACTCCTTTCGCAGATAGCCCTCGAGACTTTTCCGTAATCACATAAACCAAACCTTTTAGCTCCGA